GAGAGAGAGAGAGAGAGAGAGAGAGAATAATACCTTTGCGGGATCTAATGTTCCCGTAAACATTCCCAGAGAGGCCTCTTCATCGATGGTTATACAGCAATCGGGCTTCACTTTAGCCGCACCGGCATATATGGCACCGCCGGGAGATTTTAGATCCAGTGCTAAATTCATGTGTAAACTTTTATTAGTATTACAGACAAATAGCTAAAAGCATTATGATAATTTAAAATGTTTATTTTAATAATTAAGTTGTTATTTATAATTTTCTCTATGATTTGACATTAAAAGGCTGAATGTGAAAAGTTATTAAATTAAAAGTACATGTTAGGCATGAGAGGTAATTAATGAAGTAATAAATATTTATAAAGTTTACTATACATCGCGACGCATAAATTAATTCAAGTGTTTAATGATTACATTAAAAACTTGATAAATTTATTAGCATTTGTTTTGTCATAAAATAAAATTATTGATTTTTAATTGCTTCGCATTCAAGAGATTAATGTCTAAATGTTTTAAACTAATTCGTCGTTTAGTAAAGTTATATAAAAATTTATAAAATATAGTGATTGACAGGAAGATGAGAGAAAGGGGACGGAAAAAGTGTTTGATAAACATGTTTACAGTAATCAGAGTAATAATTCAAAATGAAAATCTATTAGATTAAGGTATAAACTATTTAATGCTAATAATAAGAAATAGCAATTAAATAAAATATAATGAATTTCATACTCCAAACGGACACTATTTGCTTGTTTCGGGTTATATTCCACTGATAGACACTTTTGACGACATCAACCAAATGTTTTTTCTCCTCCAGAAGTCGTGGCAACCAATCCCTAAACAGATGGTCAACTGTTGAGCCCGATATCGGTTGTTGACCACCGCTTGTGCTCACAGTTTGTTGTTGTGATAACGTATCCATTTTCATGTCTAATCGGGTTAAAGATATTTGATTTAATTGCACTTCACTTCAATCACACAAATTTATTATTATTATCGAGGGAGAGAGAGAGAGAGAGAGAGAGAGAGAGAGACTGAGTCTATAAGATTGACAACAGTTACTTTTAAATTATTTATACATTTGGTGTGAATAATAACAATATTTATAATAAATGGCTATATTTGAAAGATTTATTTTGCTTTACTTTCGTTGATAACCCAATTATGACATTCATTTGATTATATATTTCTCAATTGCAATCAATTAAACGCATTCAATATAACGATAACTTTTTTGTTGATAAAATACACAAATAGTAAAAACTAGTTAAAAACAAACCACAACTTCACCCTCACTAGTGATGACCCAAAATGCAGAGATAATACACTTCTCAGAGGGTTTTCTAAGACTTTTCAAAACTACTATTGATTAGTGAATAGAATATAATAAAAGTTTGTAAAACAAACAATATTTTAATAATTAAGTAAAAAGTCTTTTGCAATAAGTCTTTAATAACTAAAAAATAGCAAAAATAAAATTACTTTCAGTTATTTCGAAATATTAATATAAAAGTAATTATAAACACAAAATACTGTACAAAAACTTTGTTATAACAAAAATATACTTTAAATTAAGCATAAAATGAATGGAAATAAAAGTGGCACAAATTTAACATCATGTTTAATGTGATATTACTTTTTGCATAACTATTACCTATGATATTAATTATTAATAATTAGTTATAAATACGATGTTTTGCAAAATCACTTGTATATTACATAATAGATAACATTTAATATCGATATTTAAATCAAATCACAATTCATAATAAAAACGTGGCGTTAAATACCGATTATCGACAAACAAATACATAACTATTTTTACTATACATTTTATTTAATACATTATATTCACAAATAATTGTTTCAAATGATATTGAAAATTAAAAGCACAAACAAAAATAATAAGTTTATAACAAAAATTTTAATAACAATAATAACAGTTTGGAAAACGAGTGGTGACGAGAAAATTGTCAAAAAAAAGTATACAATGTTTCCAAAAATGTTAATTCAATGTTTATTTTAAGACCATTTCATTGAAAATACAGTTATATAACAAATACTACAACAACTGAATATGAATTGAATGAACACCAAAAAAATCGAAATGAGTTTCAGTGAAAATATAGAAAATTTTAATTCAAATTAGAAATGCAAAAACATCTCGTTAAACAAGTTCTTCTCTCTCTCTCTCTCTCTCTCTCTCTCTCTCTC